TATGCTCGACCCGACCAAAGGAATAGGAAAAGTAAGACAAATACAATGTCAACTGAGAGGGAACAAAGCGAAACGAGAACAAAGAAATGAATATGGAAATGAAGAAGTGAAGAAGTAGAAAAGTAAGGAATAGAATTATAAAAGTGGAGAAGAAATGAGGAAAGAGATAAATAAGAAAGTGAAGAATGAAAGATAAAGAAATAACGAAGTAAAGAAGAAATAAATATAGAAAATGAAGAAGGTTGGTAAAGTATAAGAGGGGTGTTTCCAAGAGACCAGTATAGGAGACCGGCTCGAGGAAGAATGAGCGCTCCGAGTCCGGGCACTGCTTGAGCGCTCCCCACTCCCCGTCTCCTCCCACTCGCTGTGTCCTGCGCGACGAATATGCGCGCACACAGTTTTCGGCAACTTCCAGTACTTCTAAATATTCTTGGCCAGCATTTTTGATTTCTGTGTTAATATTTCACTTTATTGATTTAAAGAGTTATTTTAATGTTCCAAACACCTAATTTATTAATATTACAATTTTTGCATAATTTATTTTCGATACTTTACAATTTCTGTTCATTTTGTATCTACTCCGTATATTCTGCAAGATTTTGATTTAGTCTCAATTTTACATTTTGAATAAATTTTGAAAGTAAGTCTATATTAGATTTTACAATAGTGAAACATTAAAATTGACGTAGTTTCTCAAAAACAAAGACGCAACTTAAAATTTAATTATTTAAGCATTTTTTATGCAACTTCTTGCTGTCAGTCGTGCATTCGTTGCAGCTTGACGGACGTTTGTCAATGGCATCTGATTGCACGAATATGCACTGTTGACAGCTCTACTAGATGCGGTTGTGACTGAGTCCTGGACCGAAGTCGCCTGGTTCTCCAGACTCTGCACAGATGCATTAGCACCTGGCATTTTACCAGCAATACAAGATTCCATGATAAATATGTTATTATTGTAACAACTGGGGAAAATTGTGTCCAAATCAAGCTCCACTTTGTTGCCAAACTGTTGAAAAAGAATTTTTTTTTATTTTATCAATATGAAATTACCACCTAAGCCTTTGAATTGCCCTAACGATAAGATACTATCAAACGTGTGAAGTTACTGTTAAAAACTATTAAAACTTATTTAAATATCACTAATTTTCAAAATGACTCTACACAGTCGAATAGTATCCATCTTGTTTAGTAAGTAATTAAAAATATATAATATTTACCGCAATTGTTGTGTCTACGTTACTCAGTGCTGGAGCAATGGACTCCAGTCCAGTTTTCCCACATTTGTCCAAATCGTCGAAAGCTGTCATGCTGGCATCGCGAAGCTGCAGTCTTCCTGATTCGTAACAATGTTCAGCATCCTTTCCCTCAGCTTTGGCAGAATCGACGTCATTCTAATTTGACAGAATATAACAGATTTTCATTGACACGTTAAGATCTTAAAATCAATGCCATGCAGCTAAACGACGATACTTGTAAAGCTTGATAACAACAGGGAACTTTCGCCTAACCCCATCTAGGGACTTTACGGAGTAACCACAAGTAGTCAAGTCGAAAATTTTTTAAAATAGTTCATTAACACCTACCAAGCGACACTACTAAAATTTCGTGTGTGCTGAATTAAAAAAAAAAGAAAGAAAACAAATTATTACTTACACGAATTTGTTGTAATGCAGGATTCGAAATCGAATTCACATTTCCCATTGCATCCAGTTTCAAGTTGGACAATTTTCGGTTGAGGTCATACTTCGAGTTACTTTTGAAACGTGTCAAACTATTAACTGTACTTTTTACAGTGTTCTTCAGTCTTTGTATAGCGAAACGAAAGGTATTCAAATTATTCGCACCATGTGCCGTCTAAAATAAAGAACGAACAAAATTATTATTAATATTAACAGTGCGTCATGCATAATTAAGCCAATAGACAAAAAGCGTTATAGAAGTGAAAAAGTAATTTTTCAATAAGAGATTCTTACCTGCAAAATGCAGAAGGCAAACAAAATGCAAAAAATGGCCGGTAACAGCTTCATGATTATTTAATTAAATTTTTTAATTCTTTATCAACGTATATACTTGGGGAAAATAGTTTTCTTCAAACAGACGCTGCCTTCTCGACGTTGCGATTCTTACTGCTCTTTAGCCAGCAACTTCAAGTTTTATATATAGTGCTACACTTATGACGGAAGATAAACACTTTGAACGTGCATCATCTCATATCGTGTGTACCCGTATGCCTGTATGTTTTTTAACGGGAGTCCCCGGTTTCTGCGACGCTTGATAAATATCTAACATTCATTTTTGTCCTGATCCATTTAACGTACTCTTCGTGAATCACGTATTCCATTCATTTAAAAGCACGTAAGCAATTTTCGTTTCGAAAGATCGCCAGAATCACTTGACTTCTATATAAGCCAATTTGGTAATTATTTTTTATGAATTGAAAAAACGAAATGATTTATTCACGATTATTACAAGTATTAGATTGTTATCGATGTCTGACCTAAAAATCAATGTGTCACCAGTAAAATATTCAATTCGTTAGTAAACGATATTATTGAATAAAATAATTAAAGTCTCTGGTTAAAATATTTTTTTATAAATATCTTTAAAAAAGTCAATTTTGCAATAGAAATTCTAAATTTATAACCTTATCGAAGCATCAACGATATCTGTCATCGGTAAAACCAGATATCAAATTTAATCGATATTAGTTGCAACACCATCTATCGATTAGTACACAATGCATCGTTGATTTCTAAAAAAAATAGATGTTGACATCGAAACATTTTTTTGGAAATGATCCAAACGTAACAGATAATTTGCAGCCACGTTCTGCATCGATTCTAGAAAAATAATGAAAATCTTAGTACCAGAAGATAACACTATCAGCCGTACGAATCTTCTGAGAATTAATAATCTCCCAAGGATTTCAAATGCTCCAATTGAATGTGATCAACAGAATAAAATTTATCATTATTCTAATCTCAAAATTATTTCACGCACATATAAAACGAAAAGTAAACTAAATTTTGTCACGTACATACGCCACGTGCCTCAGTTCAATGAGTCTTCGAATTCAAGTCAATATTGAATCAAATGAAAAATTCAAAATAAAATTATGCAAGCATTATGACAAATTTTTGATATTGAACATTTTTCAAAAATTTTCTATCTACCAAATACTTTCTTTCGACCTTATCAATAATCATGCGATATGAATAAATGAAAATAATAATTATTAACAGCTACCGATATTTCAAACCCACGTGATCGATATTACTTAATCATTAACAGTTCAGCGATAAGAAAGATACAGTTGCACTTAGTGGATTCTACATTCCCACTCTTCAAATATGCATCACGTACCACGTAGTTACGTATGCAGCCAGGAAAGTTGAAAACAAAACATTTTCCATAGTGTACAGTCAATTCTAACATGATAAATCAAAACAAGTGTTATCTTAAATTCCTCTTAATTAACAATTTAAAAAATAAAGAGTTATAGGTTAGCTGATAAAAAAAAAAAAAAAATTTTGCCACGGTATAGTACGCTGTAGCAATTGTTATATTTAAATAATAATTTACGTACACTGGTTCACATATAGAAATACTCGTTACGATTTATTATATATAATCCGTACGTCGTAGAAATAATTTCAAAGTTTAACTAGCAAAGTATTCGCACGATAACGATTAACGATAATCGTAAAGTGTCAATGACCATGAACGATGTGAATGATTTAATAAAACGGGTGAGAATTTTCAAATCTTCTTTTTTTTTTACCGAAATACAATTTTATCCAGCATTACATAGAGATCCTTAAAAGAGACATTAACGTGCGATATATGTATGTATATGACGTTTGCGCGCAATATGTACACATGGGTTGTCAAAATGAAAAAAAAAAAACTGTCAAAGCTCTGTCAATGGTGTTTGACATCGTGCAATTGGCCGTAAACCTTTTTTCTTTTTTTAAGTAGTAATTCCGTTAAAAATCCTACCTCGTCGGGTAGTAAATTTATTTATTGGCAGCGATGAGAGTTTAGTTAATTTTCTTCGCTTTTTTTTTTCTTGGTTCGCACCGTTAGACGCACGGCGGTCATATTGAAGGTTTTTAAAATTCTTCACGTGGCGCCAAATTCTCCGTACCGTTAAAACGTTAAATTTCAACCGTCGGCGTCGCTCGGGTTATCACTTAGCTTTTAATATAATCAATAGTGGCAGTTTCGCGATGGATTATTACATCTTTATAAAGGAGACGAGAAATTATATGACGCGTTACTGTCGAGTGCGAGAAACAATAACGCGTTACTTAAATCGACGTAAACATTCAAAGTACGACGTTAATATGTATTTTTATAAAATAAAAAAAAAATAGAACAAAGGCACACATCGTTTCTGGCGATTACGTACGAGACACGACTTATTGATAATGACAGTTAACTAATATGTAACGTAATCGTGGTTACTCTTCTACTACTATACATTATTGATTATGATATTGTATTTATTACTATTATTATCAATAATATTATTATTATGGCAGTCTATCGAAACGATTCTTTATACTCTTACGATATTGTTGTGGCTTCGCCACGGGCTCGTACGATGGCGACACTGTCGCGCATTGGCGTGCCGTGAATTTGTAATTTTCAAATAGAAAAGGTCGTTTGCTTTTATTTTTTTGTCTTATCTCTGCGCGATGAGATTTTTCGCCGCTTTGTCGTGGCGATTAAAAATTCGCCTACTGTAATGTATTTGATGAACTTCCTCGCGAGGTACGACAATCCGTTTTATTTAAATTTTTAATAAAAGGTTGTGATCCTTGAAGGGAACGAAATTTGTCTGAATGATCGAGCTGCTCGCCAATCGATGACAGTGTTTGTTCTTTTATATTGGACTAACTAACAAGTTTATTTATTAAAACGGAAACGTAAGGTTGCACAAGGCTTTCCGTTTTGTATGATTTTCTATGAGATTCGTACGCTTATCTTTTTTTTCACGTATAACGTTCAACCGAGCTGTGTTGTATTTATTAATTAACGAATTAGGTAAAACGTAATTGAAGTGTGAATGAATTTGAAAATTTTCAAAGTATTGAGATTTTATTTTATTTTTTTTCGTTTCCGGGCAAATTTGACGTTTGAATAAAATTTAACGTTGCAATGATCTTGCGAAGAAAACTTGACGTGTGATAAATAGGGAAAAAAATAAGTTTCGGAGTGATTGAGTTATTACTGCAAATACGGAGACAAAACGGCGTACTTAATATCAAAAGGCGTAACTCCTGTTTCAATGCAATAAAATTACCTCTCAAAAACTTTCAAAGGCAATATTTTTCACTTGCGACTCACTAACTCTTAATAATTTCAATGTTCAATCTCTATAAGCATAAGCTCGATGTACCTTTAAGCTTTTACTTGGCTTCACTTAGTTTCATAGTTTTGTGCTGATAAAGAAAATGATCCCTTTAAAATGTTCTAGAACAGCTGAACATACGGACGTCATTAATAAACGATACACTATGAGATTCTTAGGCTAGCGCCTACAATAAGCTTACGACTAAAAATAATAAAAGTCTATACCATTTTCGTGCCCTTTTACATTGTCCTAATTTTCGTGTAAAACTCAACCTCACACGTGTGCCCATACGTAACTAATTACTTATTAAAATAAGCTAAACGTTAACGAAGACGACTCGTTGGTTGCTCCACTAAAACGGCGAGCAAAAAATAAAACAAACTTTCGTCCCAGATTAATATTGCAATAAACTCGGCATTCTAGCTGACGTTACGACGTCCGAGGACACTCAGCGCCACGAACGTAAAGTTATGGCAGTGCATTATGCTGAAGACGATACGTGGATTCTTCGATTATAAGAGAGCATATTATTGATTTGGTGTCGTAAAAATACCAGAAGCTCACGTGAACGAGGCGAACTTATTGCTTATGTTGTTGCTCTTGTCGTTGAACAAGCGGGGCAAACAACTATCCGAAATTCACGACACCACCGCACGTGCGTTGCTTCATTTTCCCGTCGGTATTCATCGGCGCCACAGTCGCTCGGGCGATTATAAAATACGTATCGCACGAACGAACCAGAACGCAATTATTTACCATCTAGTTATACATATAGGTATGTACAATTTTGTTACTGCTGCGCAAAAGTTTCATCGCCATTTTAACGAATAGCTTCGACATCTGTACAGCAGAGTGCGCATAACGCAAGGTGGGCCCATTACGGAACATGACTTAGAGTAATAAACGCGTATAATAAAAAAAATGAATGGTGTGCTAGGTTAGGCGGGCTTGGATTGGTACACGATCGTCTTGGCGATTCCTCATTGGCCAGTTTCGGTCCTACTTCTTTCTCATTGGTCCTTTATTGGCTCCTCAGATTCGCCAATCGGACATTCGTTTTGTGCTTTTCTTTATATGTCCTTCTGAAATCGTGCGGTGGACGTTGACAATTAATACAGGACGTGTCCTTTACCTTTTTGATCTTTTGACCGTTCGGTGGCGCTGGGATCGCTCCGGACCACTTCTCCGTCTACGTTCACGCATTCTTCTGCGTCTGCGCCTGGCGTCTGCGACGTACAAGAAACTGGGAAGAAGTGTCAATGCAAATTTCTTATTTTAAATAGGAGGTTGTAAATTATTAATTTTTTATATTTGTTTATACTCACTATAGCGCAACCACTAAGGAGGTAGAACATCGAGTTTCAGACCTGGTTTTGGTATGCAGAAACCGCAATAGCCACCACATTTTCCAAGGAATTGTTGATCGTTCTGCAAAATATGAATAATGTTAATAAACAGAATGTTAGTGACGTTTCATAATGCATTAATATATTTATACTAAAGTCAGAAAGATTGTTAATATATTTTTCATTTTTAATGTAATTTTTTAAAATTAATACTCACGACTTTATTGATGTCCAGGAATGTTCTACCTTGATGACTGACCCAAGTGACCTCAGGAGCTAGTCGCAGTGACGTTCCACGAAGATTAATACCGAAGCGACCTTGAGGACAATTGGCTGAACTGTAACAGTCACCAGCCCTCCCAAATTCCACAGGTTTCACACCCGTACCAGAGGAGAATCTGTAGTCATCGGCTGAGTAACAAAAGATTCGTTTATTTAATGAATTTTCAAAAATAACAAAATATTCATAATTTCTAATCAACTTATGTCAACTATCAATCAATCAACTATGTCCTTATCTTACCGATAATGTAAAGTTTTGTGACATCCAATCGAACACGCTCAAAGTCAGTCTTTCCAGAAATCCTTTCGTGATCGGTTGCACATGCGCAGCTGTCATTCCTTTGCCCATTGTAAGGACACATATGCGGATTCAACAATCTAGGACAAACATAAAAATTATAAGAAACAAGCTACAATCAGGACAATAATATATATATCTTTTTAAGAAACCAAAAATATTTATTACTTTTTGTCATAAATTTCTGCATAATTCTCTCTTGCACCGGCTGGCAACGTAAGATATTCCAGTGGCCGATCAGAAATCATATTGTGACAGTATATCATCATCTTCTTCCCACCCACAAAAAGATTATATTCTCCATCTCTGGCCGATTTAAATCTCTTCTTGACATCCGCGCAAGACAAAAAACCGCAGCGCTGTTGATTGCACTTTCGTTTCCGTTGGGGTTTAAATTGAAGCGGACAATTACGGCGATTTACATTTCTTCCGTTATTGTCACGGCAGAAAAGCTTACGTATCTGTCTACCTCTTCTTCCGCATGGATGGCTACACTGTAATTTTCAAAAAAATAAAATTGTACTCTCCACTTTCTTCTAATTCAACAATATGACAATGTCACAGTGTCAACCAACTATTTTTTAAAAATAAATATCAATATTACATGCTCCCAGGAACCAGCTATCCAGTGATACTTGTCGTTGCATTCCCGAAGCTTGCAAGTTTGTTCGGTACTTGGTCGTTCATTGCTTAGACAACCTTCGGCAGGGCTCGGGTCGATCCATCCGTACTGATTGACCCTGTGACAGGTCACGGTACGACTTTGCATACCGTCGCCGCACTCAGCCGAACACTTCAATATGCAAATCACAAAGAAATTGTCAGTAGAGTAAACAAAATTTGTGAGTGGAAGAAAAAACAAATAAGACTGAAGAAACACAACTTTTTACGAACAAAATATTATCTTATGTCATTAACATTGAAAATTTTTTAACAATTCTTTCTTTTTGAGGTTATGCGTTTCTTCTGTCTGTGCTTGTATGTATGTACATTTCAGAAAATGGGTACCAAATGTCATGCTTCATGCTGAGATCCGATACAGACTAATCAGTTATACAATATGCAATAAACAATACAAGATCAGTACCTATATGATTGTTATCAACACGCCAATACGTCAACAAACAAACACATTTACAGCGTGACTATGGGATAATGAAAAGTATACCAATTGGTTCCGCAACTTTGTATGAAAATTTGTATTAGATTTATATTAATGATTTGAGGTTACAGTAACGAAATCAACGATAGTACTTTGCAAATGTGCGATAATGGAAGCCAAACCGAAGTATGAATAAATTATTGCCAACTGATGTAGTTATAGATATGTAATATATGTAATATATATATATGCAATATATAGGCGTATATACATAGGTAGAGAGGTTCGACGTGCATCAGACTCATGAAAACCAAAATTCCAAACACTAGGTGTGTATATGAATACCCTGTGAATACATGCCCGAAAATTTTGTTGTACCAATTGTCCGCCAAAATAGTAGGGATACAGCATTCAAAAAGCAATTATTATTAGGCACACGTTACACGTAGGACGGGACTTAGTCTTCAACGCGTATCAATTGATAGACTGAAAACACACAAAGAATAATCCATGATCAGAGTTAGCCTGAAATGAAGAAAAATAAAAATAAATAAATGTATATATTTGTACATGATCCGTCAAGGTGGTAGATCTTGCGATATAGAAAGTCCTAAGACTATTGAATGTACTTAATTACCAATTTTTTGATTGCTGGTTAGTTTTTCGTTCGTTGATTAAATTTTTATAATATGGCGGTTAACGATAATCACCTCGATGCGCAGTGGCTTTGCGCAGGAGAAAAGAGCGACGACTCAATTTCTATTTTCAAAAAAAATTAACTGGTATCCAGTATATAGATTGTTGACTGACGATCAATGTTGATTAAGATAGCGGATACTGATAAATCATTTATGATATCATCGGCTAACTCTGATCGTCGGCTAACAAGGATCCTTCTGAACAAGTCCATGATTCTGCGTCCTTAAGTCTCCGAAGACTATACGAATAACGTGTAGAAGAGGAAAAGGGGTAAAAATTAATGGAAATCGAGTTGATAAGCCTGTCCAAACTCAAAATCGATCCAATCTTCTAGATTGATCTGACATCAGTATTCCTTTAGCTGATTAGTTCGACAATCGACATGCGAAACGACAGGATGTTCCCAATTTTAAAAATATGAAATTCGAAAGCCATTTGACCAGCGATAAAAAAGAATCGATGGACAAACATTTCGAGTTTCACTCTATCATTTTTTTTCGTCTTTTTTTTTTGTTTTTGAGGTAAAAACTACCTCGGACCAGGTACCCTCTTGCCAAGTATAGTCACAGTGTACTCGCAGGCATGGCCTCTGTGATTTCGGCTTGGAAAGTCTGCGCTTTAAACAGTGCTCGTCCTCAACCGGAAGCTCGGAACCGGAACTTTGGCTTTCGGTCCTCATCGTGCATTCCACTCTGCGTGTCTTAACGCCATTGCCGCATGTTTTTGAACACTGCGAACATTCATTCGCCCTGACTGCAATCCATGATCTTTATATTTCTTTTTTTTTTCTTTCGCTTTCTCATTTTTCCACTGATCAATTTAATAAGGATCCGATACCGACCCATATTTCTTTCCCCACTACATAAATTAATTTCTTTTCAATCAATGAATAAATAATTTATCATGTAAATGACTAACGATCGTATGAGTCAAATTAAAAAATTATATATAGGACTCAAATTGTCAATAACACAATTTTCGATCCTTTGCTTTTGTGTTCATTGTTTCCGTGTGCAACGTGTTTGAATTTCTATACTTTCTTTGACTATCATAAAATTTCATTTTGTATATAAAAACTGTGAATGGCAAAATGCAAAAACAATAGTAACGCTTACTAAGAAATATCGGAATCGGTATCGACATCGGTTATTTAGAAACCGAAAAACCATTTCACCTGAAAACTAATATCGACGTGTCAAAAATATCTTTAAAAAACTTACGGGACTCCATTTCGATACTCTCCATCTGTGAACACCCTTAATAGGAACTGTGACGTTCGGACAAGACGACTTCATGCATCTCTTCGCATGTGGAGGCTTTTTCTTTTCAGGACATTCTTTGTCAGGCAGCGTTTCACCTCGATGACTTTGACAGCGAACCTGTCGATGTTGAAAGCCTCGACCGCACTGGTTGTCGCACTGTTGACAAGAAAATATGAAACAATTATAATTAAATGGAGCGCAAGAATGATTTTTCAAAAAGCACAAAGTGAATTTACCTGACTCCAGTCCCCAGTGTTCCAAATGGTACACGGATGCGCATTACATTGAACAGTCAATGATGGACGTGATTTTGGATCACAATAATCATCAGAAACTTTGTGACCAGTTTCATCCGATACACATTGCACCACGCCGTTCATATATCCTGTGTCGCAAGGTTTTGAACACTGGGAATGAAAGTGAAATATTTATTAAAATTAAAGTGACCTATAATCTAGTCACTTGGACTAATAATTAGACTTAACTATTCAGTACTTACTTCACTGTAGGCAACAGTGCGCCAATTGTAACCCGAGTAAAAAGTTATCCTGTCAATATATTTGTTGCCACTATCGATTTCATTGTCTTGTTGTAAACTGTCACTGTGAGGTTCTGAAGAATATGTTATTGGCGTTGTTGTTGCCTGAGAACAACGGTACAGCGTGGTTATTACAAGATTTATTTAATTATAAGAACTAGTTGATTTATGTAAGTCTAACTTACTATTGAACTTGGACAGAGCTTGTACGTGCAGCTTGTGACGTTCAACGGTTTTTTTGAAGCATCACACTCGTTGCTCAATGTACCGTCTGCATTCTTGCAGGTGACTATACGTCTGGTTATACCATCGCCGCAGCTAACTGAACACTAAAACAAAAATTAACATAATTCCATCATAAATTTCAACGTGAAACAATAATAAATTTTAACCATAATTGGTATGTACGTACCGGACTCCAGTCTCCTGTATGCCACTCGTGGCATGGTCCCATACAGTCTTCTTGCAAACCTGCCGGTATACTAAATTGACTGCAATAATTTTCGGAAACCACTTGATTTCCCACCTGACACCAGTATGGCCTCTTACGTACACCAAAGCCGCAGTTAACCGAACACTGAAAGAATGAGAATAACCGTTTGCACATTTACATTAACCAGATCTGAGATCTACAAAAATAATAATAATAGTCGGCAACGACAAACGTTTTTCATTTCAAATTCAATATTATGAATGAAACGTAATATATTATTCTTTTTAATTTTTTAGTTAAGATATTTATTTACCGGGGACCACTCGCCGACGCCCCACTTAGGACAGACGTCCTGTCCGCAAATGCGTTTAAGGATCTTCTTCTCGGACACGCATTTCTCATCAGGAACCTGAGCCTCCTTAGCGTCAACGCACTTGGCGCTTCTCGTCTGAACGCCACCACCGCAGCTAACCGAACAGAAACCCCATTCGTCGTAACTCCAATGGGCGTCGTCGCAAGGACCGACACATGGCTGACGTTCGGCAGGACGTTGGATATGGGAGCATGCGTAAATTGGAATGGGACGCAGTACATGGGATCCTGATAAGAATATCTGGACACATCTGGACCCCACCATGCGTGTTCCTGGTCCGCAATGATTGGAGCATTCTGATGTTGAAATGACTTGCCACCTGATAGGAAACAATTTATGTTTTCAATGTAAAGTAACCAGACACGTATTTGGAAGGTTTAAGAAATTATTAAAAATCCTACTCAAGCTTGCAGTGTCTGTTACAAAGCTGAGTCTCTTCCTGGGGCTTCTCCTCGGCCCGGCAATAATCATCGGACATTACGTCCTTATGTTCGGTGCTCCTACACTCAGCCTTCCTATGCATATAACCCTGGCACACACGATTGCAGCTGGACCAATTGCTCAAGACCCACGTGTAGCTGTTCAGCATCCTCTTGGGCACAGTGTATTCATAGGTTATTTGCGGAGGATCAATATTGCCCACGGAGAGAACCTGCACGAGACAATTGTTGATACAGAGAGAATTTACAGTAAGCATCAAAGGAAATGAACAATAGACAGGCAATTTGAAAATCGTCAAAAGCCTGTACTCACCTCCAGAATCAAATCGACAGTCGTAGGTCGTGATATGTTGAGTCGCTCAACAGCAACTTCCGGTCCACTGTACTCAATAGTAATTTGTGGATCAACAATGATCTTGCGCTTCTCCACCATAAACTTCCCGTTTAAAATGTACTTCCCACCTTCCCCGATGCGAAGCGCTGTGATACACAATCAAAGAACGAATAATGCCGTTCGTCGATCCAACATAAAAATTATTAAACGCTCATTGCTCAACATTCAAAAATCTTACCCAGGTAGTTACTGTCGTTCCTTGAATTTGGCCTGCTATATTGCCGTATGTCAACGTAGCTGCTACCAGCCGGAATTTTGGTAACACGCGTGTAACCATAAGCACTGGAATTGTAAGATCCAGTAATTCTCTGACAAGTTGAATTGTCACCGCGACATACGCCGCATATGTCAAGCTCAGCTGTTGAGTCCAGCACGTGATCGCATCCTGCAGGTTTGCAGTGACCGTTGACACAAATGTCAAAAGTGTTCACCCCACAAGGTGTCCCGTCTATGACTTTGTCGCGAAGCATATAATACTGATTGCTTCCCACTTGGCAGTACAGCTTGCATCTTTCCTTAGCTGGTACTGAGAAAGAAAAAATCAAGAAGATCATAACACAGAAACAAAAAACGTACAGCTTAGAATCTATGGTTAAATAAAAAATAATTTTACTGAAATGCTCTCTTACTCCTTGTATACTTTGCGTGCCACTCGACGTTCCTGGTCAAATTCTGTATATTCAGACTGTCGTTGTTGAACCTGGAACACTGTTGCTCCCTGAAGTCTGGCGTACCAGCCGGACACTCGGTGGTACCACAACTGCGATACTTGACGTGTTCACCGATACAATAGTTGCCGCTGTGCTGGGGTATTGGGTTGTTGCATTTACGATATTTCTTCTTTATGCCGCCACCGCAGCTCCTTGAGCACTCGCCATAATATCCCCAGGCTCCCCATTGCCCGTGAACGGGTTTGAGGTTCCTACGGGAGACGCACTCACCACGCTGACACCATTTGCCCTGGGCACAAGCGGTACCGTCTGCCCAAGGCATGTGCTGTGTGTGACATTGCTGATTGTCGTCCCAGATCGGTGCTGTACACCACAGCCTCTTGCACACTGCCTGGCCAATAGGGAACCATGCGCTCAGATTACCTTGTTTTAATATAACCTTCATTTCATATTTGCTTTTCTCTACCTCCGTCCTTGTCTGTTCCCTCATCTTCTTGTACTCTGGGATTTTCAATGTACCTTCTTGACGTTCAAGAACTTTTAGAGAATTGAAAACAAGGAGGGAGGTTTTACAAGACAGCAAAACAAACTGGAGGGACACGTTTGGGAGAAGAATTTTTTTACAGTGTAAAATTCATTGAATTTTCTATAAACATTCTTTTCTACAGTAAATCTCCCCAGTATGCTTACTACTGATTGTTAGTAACAAATGGTTGCGTTAATGAGGTCCCTGTGTCCATCCCACCGTGACTGATCAGAGTGGAATACCATATTAAACAACGACCACGATCACGACAACGAAAACGACGACGATAGAAGCGGGATGCGTGACTTACCATCACTCACCATGTATGGGCAGATTTTAGAACCCGGCCCAAACACAAGTTCGCATTGTCTGTTTTCAGAATAATCTTCACCAGGCAATCGCACACCCTCCGGACTCGACATCCCTTTGCTTGGCTTGTCCAGGAGACAGTTGGCATAGCCGGACCTGGTAGAGAAAAAGCAATGTTTTATTTTGAACCATTCCTTTTTTTTAGACTTTACTGTCCAAAAGTGTCGTCCTACAAAATTTCGTAAAATTGATATACTAACTCCAGGAATTCGGTGACATAGTAACTGGAACACTGTGACCATTCCCAAGGGAAGGTGTTCGCATCCAGCATCCGTGACATCACATTGTGAACACCTGAACGATCTCGAAGGGAGATGCACTTGTTGTCGTCGTCGTGGGGCATGTTCAATCTGCGAATTAAATAATTTTTATGAAATTTCTTTTATATCCCATTTCTCACATACTGCATACTAACACGTGGCCAATTTCATGGGCGATTGTGAAAGCTGCTGCCAATCCGTTGTCCTGAACAATCGCGCACGAAGCACGAGGCGAACACATTTTTCCAAGTTCAGCCAGTCCCAAGGTGTCACAACGCTGCTGTTTCGCATTGTGACAAAGATTTTCTCTGAGAGCAAGAAAGGTTGTTAATCGTATTAATTTTTCAATGAAGAAAAGGAAAAAAGTGAACAACCAAAAATATAAGAACCTGGTGAGAAGCAGAGCGACGTCGTGATGCTCCGGTGACCGTTCGTGTGGATTGTTGTTCTTCTGCCATAGACAAAACTCAGAGAGCATCTGTGCTGCAGCAATACCGTCGATTCCGTCTGATCTGTTGCCAAACGTTTTGTTTGTGTGAATGATATTCGTCACAGCAATACTGATTGGATTACCGATCGACTTGTCCTTGTAGATACGTGATACCTGCAACGAAAGAAAAAAGGCATACAAATGAAATAATGAAAATGGGAAACAAATATTTTACCTCAAAATCCTATTCTACTGTATTGGCTAAGATCTAAGGAAAAAAAAATTGTACCGAGTCCGTCCGGTTTTCACAAGCTTGTCGAGGGTCTCTGTACGAGAAAAAGAAGGTCGCCCAGTTGTCCGAATGGGCGCAAATGGAATTAACAAATGTAATCGGAAGTGGGCGAGAGCTTCTTGAAATCCAGTCGTCCAAGACAATTTTAATTCCACGAAGGACCGTGGACGCGCATACAAAACGTAGGCTAAATGAAATTCCTAGATATTCATCGGACTCTACAAAAGTTTTGTTCCTGCCGAACAAGCCTCGTCGATGCCTTTGATTTTGTTTTCCATAATCACATACAGTATCGGTCAAAAGTCATCGACGCAGTCCAATGCATAGAACCAGCACTGTACCGTGACAATATTTTTGACCGTCGCTGTAGCTTCTATTGGACTATCGACTGATAAAACGTCAAAGGTATCAAGAAAAACTTTCGTTATTTCGACCTAATTTAATTCATCCGGTTCATCAGCGAACTCGAGGTTCATCGTTAAAAGTGTCTAATGATCAATCTTCCTGATCGAACAAACGATTTGTGGAAACTGAACAACGACAAAGAATATAATATTTTGTATGTTGACATATTTCACAACGAATTCGTTTCAATAAAAAATTCAAGCGCCCTCGTCAACCGGTACAAAATTTCTTTAACAACGCAGAACATTAAGCAACGACAAAGATCACAAAAACTCTTTCAATTGACTTTACACATAGCCATTATTGCTATTCGCTATTAAATTCTCCGTTCCCGAAGCACGTGGCTCTCTTAATTTTACGATCTACGGACTTGAGCAAGTAACGAGTTTTTCTTGTACAAAGGCGAGAATAATTACGAGCCATCGGCAACGGAAGTATCGACCATGACGGGAATTATCTTTTACGAGTCTTCCTCATACACCACGCAGTCATGTACCACCGTGCGCAACGCACTATACAAATATACAGTGCGATGCAGAAATTACGGGCGAGTCTCGCAAAGCAAAGAGTGGATCCTATGACGTTAGAACTTTACCGTAATTGCAGTACAGCGATGTACATAGATCACTCATGAAACCTAACCTAACATTAAATCATTAACGTTCAACGCGACCGTAGCTCATTGCTCATTCCTCATTGACTCTTCAGCGAAATCATCAAGTCATTTTATTTTTTCCTCTCACTGTCTTCCAACTTTGTGTTCATAAATCTCAAGAAATGAACCAAGCAGACCTGCCGGTCCAGGAACAACGTTAAAAACGAGTTGGCGTCTCGTGTGGTTAATAACAGTGCAGAAAATATCAAGTCAGATTTTTTTACATATAACACATAATATGCATAATTATAAAATAAATATATAGTACGCATGTGAATTTTGAAAAATAATCTCTATAAAGACCAAATTTCATAATCACAAGTCCCATACGGTATTTCGGAATCGCTGATATTCGGGAAAAAAAAATATATATGACAGTCGTGAAATAATGCGCTCTTATTCCAAGGGCTCGAGCGCTATACGAGCGTCGATGCGAAGGCCGCGTCGGGACGCGTCGGGACGATGTAGGCCGCGGCACGTGCGCACCCACCCGGCCAGTTATGATCCAGTTAGTCGACTTGGGCTTACATGAGTATTGGTTAAAATCTTACACTTTCGATTATTTGAAATTTCGCTCGATATTATCATACGTAATTTTACACTAGTATATCAGCGTCCCGACGCTTGGACGCTCCTTGCGTAATAATCGTGAAAATATTTTTACAGCTATTCCCCTACTATATCCTTAATCCGCAGTCTAGTATGAATTAGGGTAATGAAATTTCAAAAATTTCTTACAAATACATGAAGTACAGGTATATATATCGAAATTCGGTATGCTTTAGAGTACGGACTCGAGCGGTCGTTAGAGCTGTACCGTTTGCCAGACTTGCAGGTGCGTTAAGGTACCTATGTACCTGGTAGTACATAAAAACAGTAGGTAGTGTATATACATGGAAGCTACTCCTACGTGGATTGCATCATATAGCCAAAGAAGAAAACTGGTCCCCGTCGACTATTAATGGACTGTTCGGTAATAGTAAAGGTTTAATAATAATAAAAATTATCAAGGAACCGTCAGTGACGAGGATTACTATGCGAATTTGAACGAGGTCATCCGAGGTAGGAACAATTTTTTTGTTTCTCTCTCTCAATAAAGGCAGAAGCAGACGGCATTCGTGCGAGAGTCACGTTATGGATAAATGGGTTATCCGGTGCAACATAAATCCATATTTATTGACGTCGGTGGCAACAGGTCAGTTGACTTGTCCCTGTCACTCGTGCATCCTGATGCTCCGCGACGTGGACACACTTGGACCTGTTAGCGACGTGATCCTCGTGCTAAATGGCCTCTCCCCTTCTTTGCAGACGCCCAGACGTCCAAGAGCCGTTGGTGCGTCGATGAAGGTCCGAACGTGGAAAAAGAAAAGTTTGTATTCATTTATTTGAGGGTCTGCATGAAGAAAAAATAAAATGATAAAAAATTGAATGGTGCATACGTAATTTTATGTGCTGACAGTCCTGATGATTTAAGATTCCATGATGACTGCGTGGACGTTCCGTGAGGACGTTGAAGGAATTTCATTCGAGGATCGATGCACTGTTGGTAGTGATAAATCGTACTGAGCGTTACGACGGTAATAAAGTAATAAACGATGGCTCCTGATTGGAATTTCGTTCCATAAGACCAGCGACGGTTGGATGTATTACGTGGGAGAGACTCTGGGTTTTATTGGTACGGTTCTCGTAAGACATAACCTATTAGCCAACGAAGAAATTTCTTCGTGGCTTGTACGCCATAAAGATTTACGCTTATGGTAAATTATTGTAATTTATATTTTATACTTGATTAAAGTTAATTTTAATTTTTTTTATTCATTTCAGAAACGAGTAATAAGCAATGAGGTATTGGCAGTAAGATAGTGCAGTTTCAATACGGCTGACGAAAGGTAAATTTAATTAAAGTCGTAGGTTAGAGTCCGATTATATGTCTACTCGGGTAATAATAAATGTATAAGTTGAAGAAGTAACGAGAGGAGGACGTAGGTCTCGTGAAAGTCAAAGGCGTCCGTCGGTACGTATGGGAAGCAATGGTAAAAGTAAGCACGGGGTGTGGTTCCATGCGTGGAATAAATTACGTTAACGTTAATTGACGTAATAATGAAACTAATCATTCAATTATGCAAGATCGATAGCACCTATCAAATTTCATTCACGTTGATTGCATAACGCGGTAGATAGTTTGAAACATGGCAAGTGATACTGGTAGTTCGCGTTGACTCCGCTAGGAGGCTCGAGAGTGCCAACCGTAGACACCGGTAATAAGAATAATTTGAAATAAACACGAAGAAGAAAAAGTCGATCTACCGTGATTGTAATTTATTATTTAAATCATCAGCAATTGCTTCACGAGGTCTGATCGTGCATTTGTCACGGCTCGTCAGTGTGAATGATTTATAGTACCAGGTAGAAATCCTAGATGGCGCTGCTCGCGCCACAACGGACGGCTACAGTACGAGGCGCGTCTGTCAGGACGATTTGTGACGCTAATTATTTATTTGTGATGTCGATGGGCGCGAAGAGATCTCAAAGCCGTGAAATTCAATAATTACTCGAAGAGCGTTCCATTCATGCCGCCATATAGAAACTTTTTTTCTAGTGATTTTAAATTGTCCAGACAACAAAAAATAGGAAGAATAAAAACAAATAATGAAGAACCTCGAGGCGTTCGCGTGAATTTAAAAATTTCTTTACCGCAATCTCGTCGTCTCGCTTCGTCGTTACTTGGCTAATCGCAATACCCGGGTACGCCTGTCTATTGAGATTGCGTTTTCTTTGTAATTTTAAATTTACAAAGGATCGCGCATGCGCAGTAGCAAAGTGGCGCGACCGAAAGTGGCGCCAGACGGGATATATCGATGGTTACGGGTGGTCGGTCTATGATAAATGATGGACTGGCGAAGCAGGGCGCCTTCCGGTGCCCTTTCTACTTTGCTCTGGCTTTGAAACACACGGTAAGTCATTCGAGATACGCACTTATTTGCATAACATATAATACACGTGATAGATCCATTGGATTAGAAGATCGATCGTTCCGAGCATCGGGTGGTCCCTGTCTCGTCTCACGTAATTCCTCCGGACGGTTCAATCTTTAAGTTTCGAGTCTTCTTATTTTTTCTTTTAATCCACGACAAAGATATCAAGCAAGAAAAAAATTGCCATTGCAAATAGGTTGCTCGGTTCTTATCGGGACTGATAAAGTTTTTATAGTCAAATATTTTATGCCTTTTTAATTGAGAATTTACGATCCTAATTAAATAAAAAATTTACATCAATTTGTTACTTTAATCTTTACTCACCGTGTTCATCAGGACCATTATGTATCTGAAGAGTTCCTCGCCGTGATACTGAGCCATCTTGAAATCAGCCACCAGAAGTATCTCGATAAAATACTCTTGCGCGAGTGCCCTGCGTGATCTCCAACTGGCTAACGGGTCGGGGTCAGTTTCCGTAGTGGTGTATCTCTGGTACCAATTGCCTCTGCCACGGTTATCAGAGTAAATGCTGTATTAAGAATAAACAGAATGAAAAATAAATCAATTTTAAATAAATTTCCAAATTTTACGACCCAACTGTCCAACCCCGTTCCCATCCTAACCCCAACTGAGGAGTAGTTCAATCACTTCAAGTTTATATTTAAAAAAAGAAAAATTACCAACCTTCCATAATTGCGACTCCTCTCCGGATTATTAAAACGTAATTCATTCTTTCCTAGAAACTGTCTATAGAGATCCTGATCCTCGTATTCCTCTATGGAGTCATCGAGGAACGTCTTCTTCGTGACGGATCTGCGCGCCCGAGGATGTTCACCGACGTAAACCTTATCGGCAGAACTGTCATCGATAAGGGGAGCTGGTGGTGACTCCTCTGTATCATAATCTGTAATCAGATCAAACAGGAATGATAAAACGGTTTTGTATAGGAGAGGAATGTACAGTCTTGAATGATCAGAATGAATGATCCTGAATCCTTTATGGAGTCCAGGACGAAGTCAGTGAGTGTCAGCGTGGGACGTGAGCTGCATTGTGACAGTGATCTAGGAGTACAATAAAATATGACTGTTCTGTCAGATCAATTGGATCGTTTCATTTTGATTGAAGCAATATAATAATAATAATCTTGGGCAATGGGGTCCATCGGTTATCCCATAATTCCCATGTGACAAACTCGTATGCAGTCTCTAATGGTATCAGCGTTACCGTCTGTTGCTTGGAAATCAACGCCATTCCTAAGACTTAATTACAATATCCAATAAGTGGACGTCCTTCTGCGTGCGACTTTTCGAATCGACCTTATTACATCGTTATTATTATACTTCAGGTCAGATCCGATCACTGACAGGAGGGTTGTGAGATAGAAAATAAATGGTGAAATTAAATAAGAGTCTGGTATAATTATCAAATAGTAAAGGGTCTATCACAATGATAATTTGCATCGTCTCAGATTCAGTTATTAAGAGGGATGTGCACTTGAGATAGGAAATACATTGTGAAAGTAAATAAGAACAAATTTTGTTATTACAAACAAACGTCTTAAAAATCATGCATTGGTTCCACTTTGAGGGGACTTATATACGTTTTGATTCGTAAGGTGGTGACCCCCCAAATTGATATCCCGACCGGACTATAAACGTACCGTTGTTATATTTTACATGTTGCAATCGTTTCACGAGTATAAGGGATTCTCCAGGGGACTCTTTTATCTTGAACGTCATAGAAAAGATGGCCCCTCCAGAAAGTCTTTTACTCGTGGACGGATTGTACTTGATAGAAGATCTATTGTTAAAAAACGAATTATAAATAAAATTCAAGTTAAAATTAAAATAATACAAAAATTGTGATTTATCGAGAAAGAAATAATGATTTTAATATGCAAGAATATTTATGAGTTTGAAAACTATTCGATAGACAAAAGATTCCGTCTCAAGCAGACGCTGATTAGACTCGTTGCGGTAGGTCGTTTCATTACTGGGGTTCGATGCAATCATAACAACAATAACCGTAATTACACGCAGACAGATTGGCAATTGCATTGTCTTATAGCCACAAGGAGCAGAGAAGTCTCGCGGCGTCGTAGAGTCTCGTTTGTGTAGTTGCCATCGCGATTTCAGATTCCTCGTCTTGCCGGTTGCACGACGAAATACATATAATGCATAAGGAACGTAGGAAAAAGAAAACAAAATATTCAAGAGAATACAAACCAGAGAGGCATCCGAGAGAACGTAGAGAGAATAACCTAAGAGTGGATGATAGTCTTTGAGGTTGGTAGACACCCGAGAAGACAGTATAAAGATTTTAACGAGTCGCAGGCGGGTCTGCCTGTAGGTGCGGCCTTTATCATTCTAATTTCAATCGTTCTTATGCATTCCTTGCAAGATTCATTTCTTATTCTTTATTCTCTCGCTCTACCACGCCACGTTAAGAATACATACAACACGTACGACGTAGTTAGCACAAAAGCCTTTGGTCTTCGCGCACGAAGCTAAAGTAATACGAAAATTCACTGCTTGATCCAGTTTTTTGACAGCTGAGCACTGGTCTGTGTGGCGGCGCTGCAGTCGGCCTGACGCGTCGCCACTGCGCATGCGCGTGGGATTTGAATTCGATTCGCCAGTTCATTGTGCACACGAAGTACAAAGGAGAATTGTGGACAGTGATTGTCGGTTTATTGTTGTCGAAAATTTTTGTTCTACGTGGAATAGATTTGTGGTTAGGTTAGGATACTTAGTCGTGCCAGTGGATTCTGATAAATTGTTGATAAATTATTATGAAAGGGAGTCTACGAACTGTACGCTTCTCGCTGATTGTGCTCGCCTTCCCTTTTGTCGCTCTTAATGGGAAAGTCCGTATCTCTGTCTAATATCGCTGAAACATGCTTCGTTGCAGTTACGTCGCTCGGCGCCATAATCACTTCATTGTACCGGAGCCTGCTCTGCCGGGAAGCAGGTGCCTCTTGGTGTAGATAAACTGTCGTTTTTTTTAACCTCTCTTTATTAACCGGTACCACTTTAGAGATCCTATTGTACGATTCAAACATTTCATCTAGCTTCTTTTTTCTTTCGTTTTTCCTTTCATATCGACGCTTCGTCTTTTCTTTTTTTTATTTTAATTTTCATTGGTTCGTTATCAGTGCCATTATTGCTTCGACGCGGTAATGAGGATTCTTCGATGCTACACGTAAAATTTTACAATTTTCTTTTCTTATAAAGTTTCATCAATTTCACAACTGTCAGTCTTCGTTATATCCAGGACGCTGTGAGTAAAATAAATAAAAATTGACAATGTATACCCAATCACGATGGAGAAGAAAGGGAGAGAAAGGACAAAATTAACAGAAAATTAATAATGCATCCGTCACACTCCTACGATCACCATAAATCAAACAACGAGCAATCTAAATCATTTTAAAAATAAAAAACATCTCATCCAATCCCAACCCAATTCCTTCACGTATATCCCCGATTGATATACATACATATACCAAAGACGGAAATGTTTCCGCATTCCAGAATAATCCAAACTAACCGGACAGGTTGCCAGTTGCGTGATTAAATTCGGTCACAGCAACGAATGCTACGTCATAGACCATAAATTATATAGAAAGCTGATCCTAACTGCCTAAAATGCCTAATGCATTACTTAGCCAACATGGCTAACACATATCCCATGGATACCATAGGGGAAGGATATTCGGATTCCTCTGATTAAACTGGTGTCCATATGTATCCATGCGTGAAACTGGTTTTAAGAATCTTTAACGCATGCTGATGTTGGCGGCAGGTTCTAGAGAGAGAGAGAGAGAGAGAGAGAGAGAGAGAGAGAGAGAGAGAGAGACAACGCCTCTCACGGATTTTCATGCTATGGGATTAAAAAAGTTTTCAGCGACTGATCTTCTGCCATTTTTGTTGTATACATATATGTATTCTAAGCCGTTTTTACTACCGTCATTTGATAATGACGATTCCTAATATCAGCCGTCAACTAATAAGAATTTATTAACTGTAACGTCGTCTCACCCCGTGATATATGGTTGGTGCGTGACGAGGCGGAAATTTGATAATATGTATAACTTTGGGTTAATCGATAAAATTGATGATTATTATATATACATTTTTAAACAATGACGGCTGAAATCATTAAATCATCGTGTGATGTCAGAAATACATATGATTTTTTTATAATGACTTTATAAAACGGAGGAATACATATTTGTATTGTTTGCTGAAGTATAAATATTTTAACTAGAATTTGAATTTGTTCTGAAATTACAAATAATAAGAATATTTAAAGAGTGTCTTATAAATTATAATAAATATATTGAGTAAAATTAATGAAATAATAAATGCAATGATTTTAGATTAGTAAAATAAGGTAAGCGATATATTGAAAATATGATGTTAAACGAGGAAAAAAATTAATCATTTACCTGTCTTCCAAGAGGCTGAAAAAAGTGATTAAAAGAAATTATGACAAAAATTTAAATAGAAAATCATTGTTTTTTTTTTTGTATATTCAAATCTGTGTAGGATCGTCCAATCCGTCAAAATCCTGACCTTCGGGTCTGACAAATAAGCACTAATTGTTGCATGGCGAATATAGTTTGACAGGTGTTCAAATATTATGATAGTTAAATAATTAGGTAGCAATAGATATCAGGCAGATACGTTCTCTCACGATGATTTCCATAAAACGTCACGTGCAGTGCTTAATGACGAATAACGTCCGATTACCGTTAAGCCCTGTTTCCTTCTCTGTTTTACCGACAGGACCTAACGTGGCCTTAGCCCTTAAAATAAAAACTGTCCAAATTCCAAATCCGAACGTATGTCCAGAACCAAGGGGAATCCGACTTGAAGTCAGTCACAAATTACAAAGATCATTAACACGCGCATTCCATACAAGAATCGAGGGTTCCTGATCTCATTGGATACGGATGAAATTTTTAATGAGCCACGTACCCAGACACCGTACGAAGGATCAGAAAACGTCATCGTGGTGCTCGGAGAATATTTTTAATATTTAAATGACGGTTAGGCGAGTGCGCATGCGCAGCACGTCACACAGAAATTAAGCAAAGTTCATCTTATTTGTGAACACGCGCAACGTGATTGCTGCTTCGTGGTTGGTATTGGAATAAATAAAAAAAAAGGTAGACGATTAATAATTGGTAACTTATCTCTACGTAGTATGGTATAAAATATAAAAAATATGTTTGACTGGGATTTGATTAAAAACCAAAAAAAAAATGCCTAATATTTCTTGATCCATAGTACTTGATCGGCTCAGATGGTAAGACGTAAAAAAAATTGTTTGTAATAAAACGAAATTACAATTCTGGTAGTTGGTCAGTCGCAATATTGGTACCGGAGAACTAACTACGTTGACCTTACCATGAACTCTGCAATCACAAACGTTAATTATAGTAGAGGCGTCCCGACGCTTTTGTCACAGGCATGCTTATTGGCGATGCGTGGGTTCTTGTCGCTTGGGAGCATTCATCTATGAGTCATAGCCCATGCGGTTCATTAATCCTGAAATCGAGCCTTTTTCTCTCACTTTTTTTTTTGGTGTGAATATTACGTTTTCTGTGACAAGGAACGAAAGGAATGGACCAAAAGGGAATAAAATAAAAGGAGTCGGGTTACGTCCTTTGGAAGAGCCTGTACGGTCGATAAAAATGAAACGTAATGTAAAGCGGTTTCGTGCACCTGAACGGCTCAGCAGGACGATCACTCGCATGATTTTACGATCAGCTTCTTCTGGAGCGACCGGTTAGTTGGTTCGTTCCTGCTGTTCGACTATTTGGGTCTGCCCGAGTGTGTCCTGATAGGCTGGCGGAAGTATCGATTGAAAATTCATTTTGAATAAAATAAAAATGACCTAACGACCCTAAACGGCTATTAAATGACTTCCAAGCCACGTGAGACACGATATTCCAAAAAAAAAATGGACCGTTTCCATTCATGCAATTATATAATATTTTATTTTCAATTAAAAAGCACGGTTCAATTACGCCATTACGTTTTAATTAAAAAAGTCAAAATAACTGCCTGCACTGTTTATTCAATTGGTATAAATCCCGGTAAAATATTTGTTTCGATCATTCCAATTGAGGTTACGTAATGGAAATATTTCTACGTACTCGTAACATCACCTAATTTCCATATCGACCTAGGGATCTTCGTTATCGACTCCTCGACGTACAATTTTTTCTTGTGAATCTTCTTCTGGCCCCCAGCGAAACACCTGAGACTATGTTAATCGTTTTGACATGTTTTTGCCGCGTACACCCGTCTTGTTCCTGTCACTTGGTTTGGCGCATGCGCAATAAAAGAATCGACCACTGGAGCGACATCATGTACATCGTATAAAACGAATTAAAAGAAAAAATTTAATTCCGCAACCAACCTCGTACACTGTCAGAATTGTCCAAAGTCAGGTTAATCCCCGAGTAGGATAATCAATAAATATTAAAGAGCAAAAGTACGACTGGCCAGGAGCGATGATAATGATTGATGAATAATTCATCATCCTTCTCCTCCATATTAATAGGTTAACCAGCACGACAGAGATCCCAGCGCTGCCAGGAGTCGCCACAAGTAAAGATCCAGCCATTTGCACATTAAGTGCATCGGTACCATCCGTACACAACGATTCTTATAGTCGAATCGAATGAATTAAAAGAATTTGATTGGTCGACACGCGGTAAAACGTAGAACCAACAAGACATTCGTCGACTCTCTATAAATAATTGGCAATGAAATTCCGGCTACGTTAAATTCCATGAATCGAGCGGGGACTTAATTTTCACGATGAAATTGGGGCCCGACGGTGCATTAAAATTCCGTAGGCATTCACGGCCGTTACGAGGTTCTCGATTCGGCCGCCAGATGTCGATCGCGATTGCTCATTCGGGACGCCCACAGTTTCAGGAAGAACGTAGCGCGATGTGGACGATAAGAAGGAATAAAAAGATTAAAACAAAGGAGAGAGAGAGAGATAATTAAAGGATCGATTCACGGTCTATATATATACATATATATATACATATATAGATATACTGTATATGAATCTGTTCATTGCGTAGGACGTTTACCGGTACGAATTTAGAGGTTGTGTCGGCGACACCAAGAAATACGCTCCTAACCGGACGTCAGACGCCAGGCTGTCTGGAGAAAGAGAAAATCCGTTCGTATGAATTTCGCCCAAGGCTAAACACCTGAACTCGACAGTCCTGACATCCAAATCCTTTTCGTGGGTCACCTGCCTGGCTCGTGACTCTCCTATACGTGTTAAACAAACTCCACGACTCTTCGGGCATCATCGTAAAACCTCGTGCCCTCCTTACGTCGTTAAACAAACAAATAAGATTGGATAGACAAGGATTAACCTGACGATTGGTAAAATATTTATATGACGTATCGAGCACGTGTATAACGAGAGACAATGAACCTTTGAAAATATTTCGTAACACTATTATTATACGTGTTGGAGAAACACGTGTCTAATTTTTTTTTTCTACAGATATCTAACTGTAATTTCGAATTCGAGCGTAGCGATCTGTTGAGTATGAAATTAATTTTTTGAAGGATCTTTTTTTTGAAATTTTGTAATATTTCCACTTTTTTTTTTAAATTTGTATTATTTACATGCACGCCGATCGCGCTAACCGCTGCACGTATATTTATTCGCGAGGAAATGAATTCCTGCTAAATTTGCATCAACGACACGCGGCAACCGTACGAGATGAAAGCGCCGACAACACAATGGACATGAGTAACCCTGTAAGTGATTTATGATTTACTTATTCGCATGAAAATTTATGCGCCCCTTTACGAAACCACGAGATCAATTGTTATACGTACAAAAGATTCTGGGTTGCATATAATGAGTGTCTGTGTACACAGATAATTTTAAATAAATATATATATAGTACGTGAATTTGGTTGGACCGAGGACACCCAAAATTCATATACAGATATTCAAATTGGATATATGCGACTCGAGGATAATGCCAGTACGATGGATTTAATTGAAGTTGCCAAATATCCCTTGGATTTCATTACCATACGTAAGTGGCAGTGAGGTAAGGAATTTTAAAAATTATTTAGAGATTAAAAAAATTTTTCTTTCACTTACCGATCAGACCGCAATTTCGAACGCCGTCAGGATCGTCAGGTACGTCGACGCTGTTGGTACTGGAACGTGTTGCCGATTCGTAATAAATCACGTGCTGTAACGTCGATCCAACGGAGTCCTGATCGTTACGCCAATTTTCGGCAGGCTTGATGATGTAACTTCCGTTGAACGTTTTGATGTGACCGGTCTGAAAAAAAATAAATATATTTTTGAGGTATGGAAAGAATTTTTTTTTTCAATTATTATCATCTACTTTTTTTTTTTAGTAGACGCCATCGTCGCGACGCCTGACGTCCTGCCCAAAGGTTCGGTATTATACGGGCAGCCCGACGAACTGCGGAATTAGCAGTTCTCAGGAACTATTTATAGCGACATTCCCTCGACTTCTGGCTGGTCCTCCTCTCTGAGAGACAACTGGGCATTCGGATGCTCGAGAAATCTTTTCTAAATATATACGCCATGTTTCTTTCGAAAAATCGAGCGGAGCGATTTTGCGGAATTTTTGAAAAATTTGCAAATATTGCATAACCGTACGTTGACTCGGTTGATGTAAACATAATAATTTTTAAAAATAATAATTATTACTTGCTACAATATTCATAGTTTGGATCAGCCTGTATATGCATTTCGTTATTGATAAGCATTGTGCAATTGCTTCTTGCAATACTCAAAATTTAGGGCAGACTCGAAATTCTCGTTGTATATGGAAATCTAAAAGTTATTCGGACCTAAAGTTCTCTTATGTAAAATCCGTTCGCATTGCGCGCGATTATTTCACAGCGAGGACAAACTGCATGGTCGGAGTATCGTAGCGCAGTTACGTTCCTCGAAGTCTTGTTGCATTCTGCATTCTACGTACTGTATTCTACATTCCGTATCCTGCATCCTGTATTCTACAGCATTCTACCTAGCAATACGAATCAATGACAAGAAGAAAGTATATGAATAATGGAAATAATAATAGAGTAAGATGAAAAAGACAAAATTTGTTAAAAACTTTACGTATTCGATGTTTGGCAAATTTTTTGGAGAATTTAACATTAAAATCACAAGTACCGTTCATAAGTTTAATAGAAAGATAAAAAAAATAATAAAATAGTTCGCAATGTAATTTTTGAATTTTTAGACCGAGTATACTGATTTTTGTTAATGAAAAAAAAAACGAGCTAAAATTCATTAAAAACACATGTATAAAGTTTATAACATCAAACGAATTCTCATGTCTGATTTTGACAGATTATAAATTATAACTTTTTCAAAAATTAAAAATATTCACACCCACCTGCCGTAACATTCGATAAGTAACATCGTCGATGGTAAAGTTTGACAGTTGGTAAGCCCTACCCGTAAATTTCGTATTTAACGATTTGAAAAGGGAAATCTCGAAATAGAGTGGTTACATAAGTTTCAAAAAAAAAAAAATAGTCCCACCTTCATATTTCCGAGTTTCAACTAATATCGCCGCGACAATACCCACCTTCTAGCTACATTCGCGTGCACGTGCCCTAAGCATGCGACACTTTAAGTAAACAGTAGCGCATTGTCACGCACAACCATTGCTTATTGTCAACAGAGTATCGTTTAATGCCAAGAAAATTTCGAAAGACGTTTTCAAAATGACGGCGCCAGTATGAGACATTGGAATTTACGAACTTTTAAGTAAGGCGTAAGAAGCTTGCAAAAGCCAGAGAGGCTACACGATATACTCGATCCTAGTAATTTTTTCATAATTTTCTCAGAGTTCTCAGCCAAGCCGGTCAGAGTTTTCGAAATCAAGTCACGGTCTTGCGATCCAAAATCCGTCTCAAAGACAAAGCAGACACAGTTGGCGAATTAACGCGCAAGTTTTTCCGCGCAGCAATTAATCAACGCGGTCGCCATTGCGCATGCGCACTGACGAATACCTACGGTACCGACTCGTTCCTCTGTACAAGCAAACAGGATCGCTCGATCAAACAATCTAAAAATTCCTAAGCGATTAAGAAGTCGATGAATTTCAATTTTAACGAAATAATTTCATTGGATCACATGTGCCATACGATTTTAGTGTAGATTCCTTGCGATTCGTCGGTATTTTCCGTCATGCTATTCCATCACTATTATATTCCGTTTCCTACTACTTCAGTCACGTAGAATCGAAACTCCCATCTATTTTAAAATCTGACTCCGTGGGCTTTGCGATTAATTATTGTCGTGCTGCGATCGGATTTTTCATGATTTTTTTTTTTAAACCTTAGGCCTTATACGAAATTTCGTTGATGATTTTTTAAAAGTTTTTTTAACGACGCGGTGGGATTGGTGAATAAAATTTTCTAATAAATGAAATCGAATTATTTTATTTCTTTCTGAATTTTCGATACTTCAAACTATTGAAGTTTTATTGTTTTGAGATTATGGACTGTTGAGGTAAAAAAGGTTGATGATGATTTTGGTCGAGGAGAATTAAAATATGGCGAAATTTATTTTGAGTATTGTTGCTAGGAGATTTTTTTTAATTGTCAGAACAAAGTCTTCGTAAGAAGAAGAAGATGAGGAAGAGAAAGAAGAAGAAACATGATGGTTCTTAAATGTAAACGCCGACGCTGACGTCGACGCTACGGCGCTAGCGTCCAAACGGGGTTTGTTGAGATTTTGTCGAATTCAATTTAGACTAACTTGATTGAATGCTCTCGATTGGGGGGGAAATCGTAAAATAGAAATTCAAAAATAACTCTTCAGTGCCGATCAACGGTTATCTTTATATTTGTGTATATAGAGAAGATTTCGAATAAAATAGATACTGTGTATAATCCAGTTCTTAGATGAAGCAAAGATCATTAGTTCCGTAGAACATCGATTCTGCCAACTTAATAAATCAAAATTTTAATTTTAATATAAAACACCTATCCATTTTTTTTCTTTCTAAAACCGAGTCAATTTTAAAATTTTGACATTTTCCACATTTTCAACCATCTCACGGCAAACTAATAAACTTCGAGATTCACATGATTTTCGGTATGTCTTCTCTCGAACAATAGTACACATTCAACAGCCTGATATAATTTCCGAGTAATCGGTAACAAATTTTTGAAAAAAAAAAATTTCCTTCAAAACTTCTCCGTATAGTACCAGACAATCCCAAACAAGCAATCCGCAGCTGGAGGCAACGACCCATTGGCCCTTCGGCTGACAAACGTCTGTATGAATATACCCGCGAAATTCAAATAATCAAATAACACTTTTTCCCCACCAATAATTTCACACCTCTTGCCCATCTTTCGTTTCCCTAAATAAATTTTGCCTCCCCTCACAAAAACTTGAGTCAAAGTCAAAGTCGACGTTCTCAAAGCAACAAAATTTTTCCAACACATCGCAACGACTGTTTTAATTTTTTCGTATCAACAAAAGAAAAAAAAAAACAAAAAAAATCAAAATCTATCTCCACCAACCCTTTCAAATCCTCGATCGCGTGACCGGCGTGAAAATTTATAAAAATTCGTGGAATCAAAAACCCAAAACGAAGTCAAAGTTTTCCCAAAGGTTTAAAAATACGCCAAATAATTTGTACGCGGTACAAGGAACAGCATCTGGAAAGAGTTTCCAAGACCGTAAGCAACCCGACGGCAACGAGACATAAACAAATACAAATTGCAGCAACGTAAAGTCTCGCGCAGCCCGCGTGTACTGATTATACAAGAAAAAAAAAGACATTTTAAAAATTCCAAAATTTCCATCGCTCCATACACAAGCAAAAGCCCCCGAAAACGTCCATAAACAACAATAAAAAGAAAATACAAATCCAAAGAACAATTGTCACAAGAAATTTTTAGCCATCGAAAAAATCAATTCTCATCGACCCACTGTTTCCAAAAAAAAAAACCGATACAATCGATTACAAGGTTAATTAATCAAATTGATTTTTCTTCGTACCTTAATTAATTAATCTACATACGGCTTATTTATCATAACAGTATATTCAATCCAGTCAATATTTTTGTCCTCTTCCATAAACACTAGTATATACAAAGTATATATACAATATACACACATAGTACAATCAACTCAACAAGAGTACAAAGACCGACTTCAGTAGTACCAAGAACTCTTGGCAAGTGTGCAACTTTTTCTCTCAGTTTCGCAGCCAGTGCAGCCAACGACCCCAAGACGTTTTCACGTAAACTTTCAGGCATCCCGATTGTTTATGTTCTTTTAACCGCATTTAGAGGATCGATCAGGCTCTTCGTACAAAAGAAAGACAAAAAAGCTGAACGACTCTTCGGCGGCATCGACTGGTATCCCCCAGCTGCTGGTCGCGACCAGTGGTACCAACCGTTGGTAGCTCTGAGTTTAGATACTGAAAGAAATAACCAACCGATCAGAAAAGCAATGGCCAGATATTTCGTTCGATATCTAAAGTCAGAAGTTCTCTCATAGTTTACATTACAGCCCGTTACCGTAGGTCGACGCCATTTTCCGTTCCAAATTACTGTTCCCATATGAGACTAATGGAACTTGTCGTCGAAAATTTTACTTTGTAATTGTCAGTGTGTGCGCGTGTGGGTTCGCGACATTTATCACGTATGACGTGTATACGAAAGTCTGGCAGAAACACACAGGAAATAAAAATTTGTAGCTCGATGCTAATTTTGAAATTCTTTAAAGAAAAAGGGGAGGTCGTGGTTTTTTTATTTTCCATTTAAAAAAAAAATGTTACTGTTTTTTTAACTATGACAATTTTATGACATTTTTCTTTGTGTGATCTACCATTTTTATTTTTTTCAAATAATTTGACGGATTTACGATTTTAAGCTTTTCTTTTTTTTTTTTTCTTATATTATTGGTGCACCGTGTATATTAATTGGTTCGGTGGAGGCATGATAAATCATATTCGAAATTCTCAACGCGTGCATGACTTTTAAATGACCGAACGATGATATTGCTGAGAAAATTGTATGTCTACACCCGGTATATGATTTTAATTTATGATGAAAAAAATAAATGACTGACGTGAAATTAATTTTTGTATTAATTTCATGTAATCCTGTCTCGTCCATCTGGCACTTGTCAAAAATAGCCACAAGGTTCCTTCGAGGCTAGTTCCAACGATTATGATGGATCTGCTAATTCGAAAATCGTGCGACTATACCGGGTGTGTTAAAAATATCGAAGAATATAGGTCAAGAGTGACGAACAGCGTTCAAAAGTTCT